ACAATTTTATATCAAAATAATATTTATATCAGAACAAATCTATATCTTAGTTCATATTAAAAATAATTAACAATTAACAAAATATAAATAATAAAAACAGAAATCCACAGAAATATTTGAAAAACAAACATTATTTTAAATATATTTTTTTATATATGGCGTAATCTCATAATTAATTTTACCTCATGCAAACTAATTTTAAATGAGTTAAAACTAAGAAATAAAAATATACTAACTTCTCACTAAGTAATTGAAAGTCAAATCCTATAAGCGATTTTTCCCAAAAAATTGTGTTTTCTCTTATGACTACATGCGTTGAAATTCTTAGAATAAAACATAAGTATAAGCTTGCGGTAACACATCAGAAGATGCAAGTCCTTCCATCATAGGATGCGTTAAATTTTTAGAATAAAACATAAGTATTCAAAAATTTATTCTCATAAGCTCATTAATTTGTTTTTAAAAAAATTTATATTTTAATTTAAAGAATGAAACCACTATATTACAATGATACATACAATTTTATCCAATTAAATTAATATGAAATAAATTATATTGTTATTTTAAACTTTAATGGCCTTTTAATTAGTTATTATCCACACTAAATATTTTTTTAAAAATTAATATATGCTAAATTTAATTAACCAATAACACATGTAAAAACATATTTGTTAATTTTCTTTTTGGTTAAGAAAAATATTTTTTTTTAGATATAGACATATAAGTTAGTATATACACATGTCAACATCTGATCAATAAACTTGACACGTGGCACAATCCTATGAATTACTAAATACTAACTTTGAAAACCATATTTTATATAATAAGATAATTATATACTTACTAATATTAATACACTCAGCAAATAAATACAGTTACTCATATCATAACATAACGTGCAGGTATGTTTCATTTAACCTAGTTTAGACTCATGGTTCAATAATCAACAAACAAACACAACAGACAAGAGAGCTTAGTGGCCGAGTACCTTTTTCGATGATCACTCTCGGCAATTCTGCATTTTTACTCGACGGCTCGAACGAACAAAAATGGACGGCTGCGTGAGGTGGATCATGCACACAGTCGCTAGGTCCTCATGTTTAAACAATTAAAACCAATACCGGGTTTAGATCTAAGTATCAGATGGATTACAACACAAGTTAACAGACTCAGAACCCAAACCTAGGCATTTCTGGATTGAACAGCTGTTGTAGTTACTTGACCAGAAAGTAAAGTCCATAACTTCTTGAATATAAACCCGAGTGAAGCTCAGTAAGTTTCGGTGGATTATAGGCAACGTGAAATTTCTAGAGACCACTAAATTGAGATCTAAGTTCCTCTGGTTTGACGGAAAATAACTGTCCAAAACCCCTACTCACAACTGCCCTCTCTTCCTTTATGGCCTATGTGCTACGGTTTCTCCGGTGACAATAGTCGATCTCTGACGGCATTGGCAACAGCACTATGGTGGTGGCTGACCAACAGTTGTGATGACGAGATCACCGTCTTCCCCACCATGGTTCTGCGTGAGCTCTTTATAACACTATCACTACAAGAAAACACAGCAACTCCTGACGGTATTTCTGACAGACAACAATCCGTCGGAAATTACCGACGAATTACCGACGGAATTCAAGCCATCGAGACTCGTTCGTAATCCGTCAGTAATTTCTGACGGCGTTACATCCGTCGGAAATATGTAACGAGAACCCGACGGCATTTTGACGGCATATGTCCGTTAGTAATATCTGTCGGAAATTCGTCAGTTTATTGTTACCGTTACTATAACCGTTTGAATATTTTAATTTCCGACAGAATACAGACGGAATATATCCGTTACCTATATCCGTGACGGAATATATCTGTTACCTATATCAGTGACGGAATATATCCGTTACCTATATCCGTCGGGAATATATCCGTTACCTATATCCGTCGGGAATATATCTGTTACCTATATTTGTGACAGAATATCGACGGATATCCGACGGACGCCGCTAGAATTTTTTTTTTATAAATATGCATACCCACTCATTCTCAACAACACACTCATTCTAACACCATTCTTCCATTCTCTAAAAGAAAATAACGAAACAAAAAAAGATATGTCTTATTTTAGATCGTGGATGGACGAACCAATGATGGATCCAGAGTCAAACTTATTAAGAGACGAATACGCTCAAGGGGTATGTGAGTTCATGGAATTAGTTTGTCAACAACCAGAAGCAAAGAAAACCCGTAAGTTGTCCATGTTCTCTTTGCGGGAATGCAAATAATATTAGGATTGATTTAGTTTGGAATCACTTGTATTGCAATGGATTTATGACGGGTTATAAGATTTGGTTTCTTCATGGAGAACGACCAGATTATGCTAGTACTAGCGAACCATATATTGTGGATAGCGTAGAAGAACGTAGAACGGAAGTAGATTTTGGTGTAGGTACTGTTCAGATGGTTAATGATGCCTATAGAGAAAATATACAGTTGACTGGTGCAGATGAAGATAGAATAGAGGAACCTAACTTAGAAGCCCAAAGGTTTTTCGGAATGTTAGACGCAGCTAAACAACCTCTATACAAAGGCTGTAGAGATGGTCATTCGCCTTTATCATCTGCAAGTAGATTGATGACGATAAAGACAGACTACAATTTGGCTGAGGATTGTGTGGATGCGATAACAGATTTTGTGAAAGATATTTTGCCTGAAGAGAATATTTCACCAGCTTCATACTACGAGGTTCAGAAACTGGTAGCTGGTCTTGGTTTACCGTATCAGATTATAGATGTGTGTGTCGACAATTGTATGATATATTGGAGAGAAGACGAAAACCGGAGAAGATGTAAATGGTGTCGCAAACCACGATTTCAGGAAACATCTGGCAGAGTTTCAGTCCCTTATAAGCGAATGTGGTATTTACCAATAACTGACAGATTGAAGAGATTATACCAATCAGAACGTACGGCTGAGGCAATGAGATGGCATGTAGAGCATAGAAGAGATGGAGAGATCACGCATCCTTCAGATGCAGAAGCATGGAGACATTTTCAGTCAGTGTATCCTGATTTTGCGTACGAGCGACGTAACGTATACTTGGGATTATGTACAGACGGTTTCAACCCATTTGGGAAGCACGGAAGGCAATATTCGTTGTGGCCGGTAATCCTAACACCTTACAATTTGCCACCATCGTTGTGCATGCGCCGAGAGTTTTTATTCCTCTCAATTCTCGTTCCGGGTCCAGAGCATCCAAAGAGATCACTTGATATCTTCTTACAGCCATTGATCTATGAGTTGCAAATGTTGTGGGAGCACGGTGTTGAAGCATATGATGTATCATATCAACAGAATTTTCAGATGCGTGCCGTACTAATGTGGACCATAAGTGATTTTCCAGCATATGGTATGTTATCTGGGTGGACAACGCATGGAAGATTATCGTGTCCGTATTGTCAAGATAACACAGATGCCTTCCAATTGAAGCACGGACGGAAGACATGTTGGTTTGATTGTCATAGAAGATTCCTACCTCCCGATCACCCTTATCGTCGCACAAGAAATTTGTTTAAGAAGAATAGGTACGTGTTTGATGATCCACCTCCAGATGTAGATGGTGCGAGTATATTGACTCAATTCAGAGATTTTGGAGCAGCGAGGACTCCTGATGTTGGTGGTAATGGGCATGATCCTGTTGATGGTGCTGGTGTAAATCACAATTGGCACAAACAGAGCATTTTTTGGGATTTGCCGTATTGGAAAGATCTTTTGTTGAAACACAATATAGATGTCATGCACACTAAGAAGAACTTCTTTGACAACATCATGAACACCACTCTAAACGTCGCAGGGAAGACAAAAGACAACTTGAAGTCTAGATTAGACTTGCCAGATATTTGTTCTCGGCGTGAGCTTGAGGTAATGGCGAACGGGAGATGTCCAATTCCGACCTATCGGTTAAATGCGGCTTCAAAGATGGCATTCTTCGATTGGATTACCCATGAGGTAAAGTTTCCCGATGGTTACGCATCGAATTTGCGTAATTGCGTAGATATTCGAGAAGGGAAGTTTACAGGAATGAAGAGCCATGATTGTCATGTTGTTATGCAGCGACTTCTTCCATTTGCCTTTGCCCATCTTCTACCAGCAAACGTCCATGAAGCAATTGCAGGTACATTTTAGTATTAAATTGCAAATATATCATTATATATAGTAAAACTTCTATAAATTAATAATATTGGGATTAAAATATTTTATTAATTTATAATGATATTAATTTATTGAAAGTTTTATTTTGATTGTAAAAATATTTTTATAAAATTATGATTTAAAACATTTGATCTACATAAAATTAATATTTTTAAAGTTATATATTTTATAGTTTTAGACTTAATAATTTAATATTTCTAAAAGAAATAATTTTTTTGACAATGAATAACAAAAATTTTGCATATTCAAATCTATTATTTTATCGTATTTATTAATTTATCGAGTATTAATTTATATAGGTTTAATTGTATCTACTATTTTTAATATATATTAAATTTGCTTAAACATGCAGGAATTGGTGCTTTCTTTCGCGACTTATCAAAAAGATCACTTACGGTTGACGGTATCCGAAATTTGGAACAAAATATACCCATTCTTCTTTGCAATCTTGAGAAGATATTTCCACCGTCTTTTTTTGATGTTATGGAACATCTACCTATTCATCTACCGCGAGAAGCAGCACTAGGTGGTCCTGTCCAATATCGATGGATGTATCCTTTTGAACGGTACATGTTTCACCTCAAGAAGAAGGTTAAGAATTTAAGCAAAGTCGAGGGCTCTATTGTGGCACAAAGCATTAATGAAGAAGCCTCACACTTTGCGGAATATTACTTTCCGTCAGAAGTACGTACTAAGAGTCAACGTCCTTCTCGTCATGACGATGGAGGCGAGCAACCAACGTATCCTGTCTACGTCCCAAGCTTGTTTACTCAAATTGGACGCCTTAGTGACAAATGGAAGAAACGAAAACTATCAGAGCAGGAGTATACGCACTTGCATATGTATATTCTCACAAACTGTGAGGATATTCTTGAATATGAGAGGTACGTATTAAAATTTGCTTATGTCTAATAATAATTAAATTTTTATAATTAATGAATATAACTCTTAACTATTTTTTTTTTTTTACAGGATTTACAAGGCTGTAGTACGCTCCTATTATCCGGAGTTTACAGAAGATCAAATTGTTGACCTTAAAGAGAAGGAGTTCTCGTGTTGGTTGCAATACTATGTAAGTTATAAAAGAAAATTTAAAAATTTCGGTGGTAACCTCTATATTAATTAACTACCATAATAATGTTATAGGTATCAGATGGAGTTTCTAAAGGTCAATCATTTCCAACATGGTTACTAGAGTTCTCTAGCGGACCAAAGTATATTGCAAAATCCTACCCGAGGTATTGCACAAGAGGATATGCTTTTAGGATTTATGAGGATGGAACTAGGAGGACCACAACTAATTCTGGTATATCTGTTCAAGCTGGTGGTGTTGTATACTATGGTATCCTTAGAGAAATATTGGAAATTTGCTACCCAGGAATGTTGAACATGAGATGCATTGCATTTTTGTGTGACTGGTACGATCCCGTGGTTGGTAGTGGTGTACGAGTTGACCAATTCGGTGTTACATCAATAGACTCAAGACGAAGGTTATTGAAATACGATCCATTTATACTTGCATCACAAGCAGACCAGGTATGTTCATTTATGAACATTCAGTTACAAAATCATAGATGATATAATTAAATATTTCTATTGATTGTTACAGGTATGCTATATCAATTACCCTCGAGTGACGCGCGTCAACGACCCATGGATAACAGTGACGTCGGTAAACCCAAGAGGTCAAGTATATGGAGTTGCAGCCCACGAGCCTCTACAGGCAAGCGGAAGTTGTCAGATGGCTTCAGTTGAGCATTCCCTTGAAGTTGATCTTATGGTTGACTTCACCTTATTTGAAGATGAAATAGTGCATTCAGAGTCAGAGGAATCAGTTGGAGAATTTGATGATGATATAGACTCAATTCCTTCTGACTATTCAACAGATTCAGAGTAGATAATAAATGTTAACTTTATGTAAGACAATATTTGGTACTACGTTTTATAATAAATTATTTATAATAGCTATGATTTATTTAATGATAAAAGAATGGGGATCAGAGGAACAAAATTAGAAAAGACAAGAACACATGAGATTGTCTAATAAATTTGGAAGACTAATTTTAAAATAAATGTATTTTGATACCTTGATGGAAAATTGGCATAAACATGAAAAAATCTGAACTTGAAATAAATCTTCAAATATATATTAACATCAAATAAATTGGAAATATTAGTATAAAATCAAATAATTTTGGAAACTAAGTCTATAAATAAATTAATTTGAGAACTGAGTTTAAAAAATAAATATGAAATTTGCCATTATCGACGGACATAAGATTTTCATCGGGTTTAAGGTTGGTGAACGCGGTTACACGTGGATTACGGCGGTTACACGTGGATTGCGGTCCGTCGGGAATCCCTCAGAAAATACCGACGGATTACCGAGGGATTTGGGGTTTAGGGTATCAAATTTAGAAACTTTATAACTTAGCGCATTGTAAAACATATTTTAATAAGTTTTAAACTCTAGTAATTGGTTTACACCCATTGTATGACTATAATTTAAGTTTTTGTTAATGTTCAAAGAATTTCAATAAAAGTGTTTCTATATATACTTATAATGTTACTAATTAAGTGTTTGATGTTGTGAGTCTTCTAAACTTTTTTTTTATTTATGAGAATTTGTTTAAAGAAACATGTATAAAAGCTGAGAACTTACACTAATGTTAGTGGTAAGTGAGTGACAAATAGATTTTTGAAACTATTTATGAACTTTTTTTAGGTTTTGTGTTAAAATCCCGTAATCCCTTGGTAATTCGTCGGGAATTTTGATCAGAAATTCGATTTCCGTCGGAAATCCGTCGGTTATAACCACGAAATTTAACCCGGGAACATTTCCCAAAATATTTGGAAATCGCGGTTTATTTAATTTCGTTAATAAACCGAGGGCAACCCGATGAGTGTGTCTGTCGGGAATCCGACTATAAATACAAAAACCGTCTGTTTTGCCGACCCATTTTCTCCACTTTCTCTCACTTTCCAACCCAGAATTTTTTCCCCTGTATATCTCAACTTCTCTCTTCGAATCTTCCTAATTTCATCTCCTTAACCACTCAACGATGTAAGCTTTTCATCCATTGAACTATCTATTTCATGTTTACATCAGATTTTTGGATTTAGAATATACAAATTAGGTTTTCTTAAGCCAGTCGTTGCATATAAATAGTCTTGTCTTCGCCGCTTGAAACAAATAAGTCTTTCTTCGTCTCTCTGGTCTTGTTTTATAGTTTTAGGTTTTAGCTTGTTTTCCTGAATTCAATTGGTATTTCATCGAGTTCTTAGGTTAGATGGTTAGATACTTAGAATTTTGCGTTGAAATTTGTTAGATTAGTTGTTTTTTATGTTAGATTTCGTGATTTTATGTTAGATTAGGTGATGTTTTTTAGATTTTATCAATTTTTGATAATTGGGTTAAAATTAAGTAAATTTTGGTTTGGACTGAGATGGGAAAAGTGTCTGCAAGTAGATGAAGTGCTAATAGATTGTGTACACAGTGACGAAGATCGTGTGAGTTTTCACGGTTTCACTTTATTTTTTAATAAATTGCCAAATTAATACTCATTTTATCAAATTTTGATTCTCCAGTACTAATAGCTGCCACAACTCTAATTTAGATTTGTTTTTGTTTATATTGATTTGTTGAATTTCTGTACTTAAAGACTTTTCTATGTCTTTTATCTCGTTTTTGAATTTTAACGAGTTTTTTGTTAAAGGATACGTTTAGGAGATTGTTGTTTAGTTTTTGATTGTATAATTGTTATTTAGAGATTTTTGTAATTATGATTTGTTACTTATATCAACTATTTTGAAGGAACTACGGAGAATTTCAACGTCGTACTAACCGTTCCACTCAAAACCGAGTAGAACAAAATAATTCTCGGGCTTCGTCGCAAACCCCCTCAACACATGTCTCGGAGTCTCCCACATCTGCTGCGCCTCCTATAATGTCCATTGAGGATTTTGTCTCTCAACCCGGACGAGAACGACTCCGCCGTCTCCATCCTCTCTACATCGACAATTCTACATGGTAAGTATAACACATCTATTTCATTAGCAATTTTAACTTTTCTTCTCAATTTCTAATGTTGGCTAAAACTTTTGTAGGTTCGAGGAATCGGGAAACGGTATTAGCAAATCTATGTTAAGGATGATGTATGGACTCCTCAAAGAACCATATCCAAGATATATGTCGATGCCGTGAGAGGACCCAGACTTGTGGTTCAAACAGTTTGCGGTATATTTTACTTGTTTATCAAATTTAAATTTCCAGAATTTATTTTCTTTAATTACATATTAATTCATTGAATTTTTTAATCTTGTAGCAAGACTTCAATTGGGAACGAGATTTGACAACGGAGGTCCGTCGAATGTTTGACGTGGAGATGGCAAGGGAGTTTTCCCACACGGTAAACCAATGGAAGCAAAAGTGGGTCCTCGGAGAGACTCCGAAGAGTATAAACGAGAAGGTGTATGAAGGGTTGAAAGATCATTGGATACAACCCGCGACAAAAAAGACTTCATCTACCAATTCCAACAATCGGAATAGTAGACGAGGTGGAAAAGGGATCTCAACGCACAATGCCGGGTCAACAAGCTTCTTTACTCGTGGAAAACAACTTGTAAGTTATCACGTTTGGTTTTTGCTTTGTTATCTTTTTAAGAAAATTAAAATTAAACTTTTCTTCTAAAGACTACTAGAGATGGTGTGGCTCCGGATCACTTAACGCTTATAGAGGACACCCACACCAACAAAAAGACCAAAGAAATTCAAGACTAAGTAGCTAAGCAAGTAATCGAAGTTTGTCGGAAAAGGAAAGATGAGTATATCTTATCTCAACCTCCTCTCGATGATGATGGGCAACCCCCAAAAGTCCCTTTGGAATTGATGAACCAAATTGTTCTTGAGGTAATTATGTATTTGATTTACGTTATTACATTATTTTTATATTTTCAAAATATTTATTCCTAACTAATTGTTCATAATTTTTAGGAAACTCCAAAGACCAAGGGACGTATCTTTGGGTTAGGAAAACTTGGAAAAAGAACTCGTTCACATCCAACATCATCCTATATGTATAATCGCGATCCCGAACTCGAGCGAGCCCTTCAAGAGAAAGACGACCGTATCGAAGCTCTCGAGAAGTTGATGGAAGAAAAGGAACAAGCGGACAAGAAGAGAGACGAGGAGATTGCGAAGAAAGATGCGGAGATGGCGAAGTTCATGCAAGACGTGTTGTCGAGGTTACCACCAAATTCAAGTTCTTAAATCTATCCCTTTATTATTTATGTAATTTTTAAGTTTTAAGAACATGTCTTTCATTTGTTTTTATGAATATTTGGTTTTAATGTATTTTGGATTTTCAAGTTTAGGAATATTTTGTTTTATTGTGTTTTTGATTTTCAAGTTTAGGAAATCAAAAAGTATTTATTAACATTTATAATTATGTTTAATTAAACAAAAAAAAATTCAAATGTAAAATATTCATAGTCCGTCGGGAATCCGTCAGAAAAACTGAGATTTTTAAACCGTTAGTCTCCATCGTCAGTCCATCGGAGACCCGTCGGCAATAGATCCGTCGGAAAAGCCTCAGGAATAATTCGTCGGTTTCATGTCGGAATACCCGTCGGTTATTTTCCGATGACTTCGTGACGGAATTTGCCGACGGTTTACGACCTTTAGGAAGCCGTCGGGAATATCTCCGTCAGTAAGCTATCAGGAAACACCGACGAATTCCCGACGGATTTGTGTTCCCGACGCTCTAGAACCGACGAACTTCACCTCTCCGTAATCCGTCGGAAAGAGCTCTTCTTGACGGTTTCCTGACGGATATGGCCGTCGGTTTACGGCTGTTTTCTTGTAGTGTATTCTCGAGAACAATGTCACTGAATCTTGACGGTTGTGATAATCGAACTCTATAACCCGTTGGTTCATATTGGCTAGGGTTTTTATTGCTCAAGCTTTGCTTCTTCCGTTCTTCGTTTTCTCACCGAGAAGGAGATATACATAGATATAGATATTGGGCGTTAATGGGCGATAACATACTATCAAATAAACGGGCCGAACTACAAACTGGCTCGCTTAAAACAAGATATTGGATCTTAATTAGCATCATGGTCAAATCAGATTATTAATAAACTCCATTCTTTAACATTTTTTTCTTCTAAAAATAATTGGGAACTGAAGATAATGGTGTTATCAAGTGCTTATACTAATTTTTTGTGTGGCTTTTGTTTTTTTTGTTTACGTCTTCATTTGTTAATCGATTGCAGGAAATTTACTGGTTTATTATTGGTTTTCTGTAATTTTTTGGGATAGGGATAGGGAATCATACTCGGATCAAATTACGAATTTTGAATTTGATTAATGATTATATTATCGGTAGGATTGAAATATTAAAAGAATAAAACAGTTTTATTAATTAATGTATATTTTTGTTGCTTTGTTACTAATTCGTTTATGTCTCTCTTCCCTCATGCATGCAAGTTTTTGGATTATACATGGAATTAGAAATATTTCTTGATGGTGGCTCAAAATTAGCACTTCACCAAAGAACTACGATTTTTGACGTTTTCTGTTTTTCCGGTTTAGTCACCAGATTAATCTTGATGGTTCTTTTCTGTCCATCGGTTATTTTGTAACCTTGGTTTAATCAAACTGATCGTAAACCAACCCAATTATTTGGGTTGTATAACTTTCTTTTAATATTAATGCACCTATTCAAAGAAGAAGAAAAAAACTAATTTTATCTATGCATAAGATAATATATGACGATTGTCAACTCTTGGTTGTACAATTGTAATTAAGTATATAGTCTCGCTTGAAATGAGGCTTGAGTCTAGAATTTTTCAATTGTGATTAAGTATATAGTCTCGCTTTAAATGAGGTTTGAGTAGACAATTTTTCAATTGTAATTAAGTATATAGTCTCGCTTGAAATGAGGCTTGAGTCGACAATTTTTTATTAATATTGTGATTCTTTGCTTTTGCTTACACTCCAACGAAACTAAGAGCATACAAAAAGTAATTATCGAAAGCGAATAAAAGACAAAAGACGCAACACCTCTTTACTCATTCTTAGTATTAATACTTCTCAGGCTTCTTCATCTGCTAACACTTTTTCTTCACTTGCTTACATCACCTAGCTCTCTTAACAATGGAGGAAACGACAACCTTTCATGGACTAGGACACCTCTTCTTCACAATCTTCTTGTACTGCTTCTCATCATTCATCGTGGCTCCTGCGATAACCGATATCAGCATGGCTGCGCTATGTCCCGGAAAAGACGAGTGTTCTCTCGCCATTTACCTCTCCGGCTTTCAACAAGTTGTACGTTCTATCTACAAATTAAACCTTTACTAATGTTCATAATCCTTCAGTTTCCCTTAAATAATAATATTCTTACATTATTTGAGTTTCAAAAAACAAAAAGTAAGTGATTTGTTTTTCCATTGTAAATTTTAACTTATTTTCACAATTAAGTATTAACCGTCCATCGTTTGTCTATTTTCTTAATTTTTACAAAAATATCGTATAAAACAAGAAAAAGGCCTTATTTTCTATAAATAAATATTTAAAATATGGTTATTAGATCACGGGAGTGGGATCGTTGATGATGATGCCATTGATGGGAAGCTTGTCGGACAAGCATGGTAGAAAATGTTTGCTTACTCTTCCAATGACACTCCACATTTTGCCTCTTGGTAGGGTCCCTACTTTGAATCTTATATAAGCTTTTTATTCCAAGTCTAATATTCCTTGCTTGAAAGCAAAACCATCCTATAATGTTTTTTTCATCCTATAATGTTTTTTTCATCCTATAATGTTTCACAAACATTAATTTGTTTATAAAAGTTAAGAGAAACTGCAAATAGCTATTTGATAATTAATATTGAAAATAACTTGTAGTCTTGGTTATTAAAAAATTTATGTTTCAAAGTCATGTAATTTTTTTTAATAAAGTCAATAGTTTAATTACAATCACAGTAATACAAATATATTACAAAACTTATCATCTTGTGCTGTGCACATGCAAGTACGAATCTAATGTCATATATTAACGTTTCATTTTATTGAAAAACATCAATGAATGGTCGGAAATGTATTATTTCGCTGAAAGAAATATTTGTAATAATTACAGCGACATTAGCGTATAGTACTAGAGGGACGACCATCTTCTACATGTACTATGTACTCAAGACTTCCACTTCGATAGTTTGTGAAGGAACTGTTTTTTGTCTTGCCCTTGCTTACGTGGTATGCCATTTTCCTCCTTACTTTTTTTTTTTTGTCATTAAGTGTTAAGACTTAAGATATTTCAAGAAAGGATTTATAAATACAATTAAAGTAGAGCAAACAGTCTTTAACGAGAAGAACATCCTAACGGATAACCTAGGAAGCATGGAATCGCCAAAAGTGATGCGTTTCTCGCTTCGGAAGCGGAAGCGGAAGCGGAATCGCAGGGAATCGCTCGGAATCGTCTTGGAATCGCGATTCCCAAAGTGAGGCGTTTGGAAGCGTGTTGGAACCGTACGATTCGAGATTGGAAGCACCGGTGATGTAGATCGGAATCGTGACTGGAGAAGATGAAGTCTTAGGCTTGGGCATTCGGTAAGAACCGATTAAACCGAACCGAAAGAACCGACTATTTCGGTTATCGGCGCTGACTGTGAGAGGAGGCTTGAACCGATCGGCGAAATTATTTTGAGAATTCGGTTACCGGTTCGGTTCGGTTCGGCATCACCTAACCGAACGGTTCTTCGGTTCTCTCCCACCATCACCTGTCTTTGAATAAGCTTCATGGAACTCCCAAGGAAACGAGGATGAGTTGGGAATGTTGAAGATCCGCCGCCATGGACATGCTCGAAGAAAGACGAAGGACTGAAAAAATAATAAACGAAACGCTAGGTTTAGATGCGTTTAATATATCTAGGCTACTTTGGGCTTATTTAATAGGAAATATGTTAAATGTAACATGGGTTAATCTGTATTTGCAGGCCCAAATTTTGTTACAGCCCAATATCTGTTACATAAAATAGAAAAACCTAAACTTAAATTGTGTTTCTTCAATTTTTTTCTCGCAGCCACTTTCCCTTATGTTTAGAATTTTATGAATTATATATATACACGCTTCCAATATGTATCCGCTTCCTAATTTTTTAGAAAAACTCGCTTCCCCGCTTCCGCTTCCGAGTACCCGCTTCCAATTCCATGCAGCTTAGCGGATAACTAAGACAATAATAGTTCTTTTTTTCTTTTTTGTCAACAGCTTTGACAATAATAGTTCTTTAACAAAAAAGAAAATAATAATAATTGTGTTAACTGTTACGTAGCTATAATTAACTGATAATAAAAAAAAAATTAGTTGCTTTGACTTTTTTTTTAATGCCAATTAGGCGGTCCTTTTTTTTTTCTTCCTTTTTTTTTTTAAATTTGGCCGGTCTGTACTTTTGGATGGCATAAAGAACATTAAAAAATAAGTCATTTAATTTACACAAATATTAAATGAAAACAATACTATTACTATAGCAATATTTAAGTCATATATAGCTAGCGAATGTAAAATAATATATTTTCGAAATAACTCCTATGAAGTCTATAGCAAATTCATTAAGCTTCACGTAGTTATGTTTTTGGAACATATCTCAACTTTTAAACAACATAGTAAACGGTTTCTTGTGTGTGACGTAGTGACAAATGGATTTGGGGTAAGGGATAAACTCGCTCTTTCCCTAGGTTCAAATTCCACTAGAAACAGATATAATATTGAAATTAGGAAGCAAGGATTAGGAACGTATCTGATGTCGGATGATTGTGTTGTCTGGTCACTGCAAAACAAGTTAAAGCAGACCTCTCTAGTTCGATGCCAAGGACGAATGGAAGCCTCAATAGGACAACCTTTCTCTGTCAGGCTGGTTCGCTTCTAGGATTTAGTCATACGACTTAAATTGATTGTGATGGGGTCATGTTGTAGTCATGGACCCTAGTTCAATGCTGATCCGGATCACTCTAGATTATATAAAAATATATGTCCATAGAGTAAATAATTCGTTATCGGGTTCAACTTCAAAAATTACTTTTTAGAAATACAATTAAAAGTGATTCTTTTTCAAATGCTGATAATGATTACAAATATTTCATTAGACTTAAAGATGGAGAAGGAGACTTGTTAGGGTAGCCATAATTACGAAACTCAATTCAATGTTTCATGAGAAGTCCATTAGTTCACGTTATAGTTCATAGCAATTAAAGATTCATACAAATTTGTTAGAACATCAATGGAAGGCAACCTTGATAATTGATTTAAATACAAGTCTTGCTTTATATTTAAAACATCATTTCAACCAGTTAAATAGTCATTAAATTAGAAATTTATAGACCATTCTGGTTTTGTTTGTCATTTTTTTAGGACATCAATGGAATGCAACCTTTGAGAATTTTTTTAAATAATAGACGACAAGTCTTGATTTTTATTTGAAGGAGCGTTGTTTAAAAAACAAAAATATCATTTCAACTAGCTAAACAATCGTTGAATTAGAAATTTATAAACGGCCAATAATATGGTTTTCTTTGTCATTTTTCTAGAACATCAATGGAAGGCAACCTTTTTTTTTTTTTTTTTAAATAATAGACTACAAGCCTTGATTTTTATTTTAAATAGCATTGTTTTTTTTTCAACTATAGTTGAAATGATGTTTTAGTTCCTTAAACAATGCTATTTAAAATAAAATAGAAACAAGACTTGTAGTCTATTATTTAAAAATATTCTCAACGTTGCCTTCCATTCAGGTTCTAAATAGAATTGTTTAAAAAACTAAAACATCATTTCAACTAGTTAAACAGTCATTAAATTAGAAATTTATAGACCAATATGGTTTCCTTTGTCATTTTGAATAATTTAACTAAAGACATTTTGTAATATGAAAAAGTAGGGGTCAATGGCGAGTATCGCTTATCTCGAACTCTCTCGTCAGCAATCTTTGTAATGCTCTATTATTGATTATAAATAGCATATCCTTCGTGCTAATTGTTTTTAGGATTTTAATGTAAATGATGACCTCTTCTGAGATAAAATTGTTGAGGTAGGAAAATCTAAAAGTTTCAAAATATTAATACTGAATAACTGATGAAATCTTTAGAGAACTCCAAAAAAATTTATGAGAGTTTTTTGGGCGAATTTTCAGGCTGATAATGTATCAGAAAGGAGACGAGGCTCCGCGTTTGCAATACTTACCGGAATTACATCATGCGCATTCGTTTGTGCCAATCTTTGTGCTCGATTTTTATCTATTGCTGCGACATATCAGGTATCTCTATATAGTCGGAGTTATATATATGTGTATGTATAGTTAGTATATTTCAGTTAAGATCATCGATATCCTGACTTGTTAGGTCGCAACAGGAATGGGAATTTTATCATTGTTGTATATGAGGCTTTTCCTACCGGATTCGATCCGAGACAATAGCCTCGGTGCTCCTATTGTTATAAGCGAGACATTGAGTTCCTCTTTACTTGAAGATTGTCCTGGACATAGAAATAGAATATTTAGAGCAATTCATTCGGTACGTGAAATGGCATCTCTATTGAGAAGTAGGTGTGTTTTCTTTTTCCTTACTTTTTCTTTCTTAACTTATAACTTGTGATCAGAGAGGATTGATGATTAGTGAAAAAAATCAACTAATTTTTATCCTCTTAGTTTAAAATAAAATTTACATAGATTTCTTAATTAGGTTTATTTTCCAGCGTTCCATTTTTTCAAGTTGCGATGGTATCATTCTGCAGTAGTCTTGCTGAGGCAGGTCTACATGCTTCATCTATGGTAAGCTTATAGCTATGCGATGCGGCTAATAAATGACTATTATTTGGTTTTTAACGTAAATATATCCACAAAAAATAATGAAACATGCTTTTCATTTGTAACTTGAAATGCTAGTAAGGGACAATAACTGGCAGATACTAGTGTATGACGTAGCTCATAAAACTATAATTAGTAAAAATTAATAATTTATATTAGATTTTGCATTTCTAGATATTATTTCTAATAAAATAAATGATTTTTATTTTTGTCGATTGCTTCACACAGTACTATTTAAAGGCCAAGTTTCACTTTAACAAAGACCAGTTTGCAGACTTGATGATCATATCAGGCGCAACCGGATCTATTTCACAGGTAAATAACAATTAATATGCTTACTTTTGTAGCGACTTATGGGAGGTTATTAGTCTTTTTCACATTGTTTAACTTACAAAGAAATGTTATTTCACAGTTGCTTTTTATGCCCATTCTAGTTCCTGCTTTAAAAGAGGAGAGACTGCTCTCAATTGGTCTTTTCTTTGGTGGTGCCCATGTAAGAACTGTGTCTTGTCCTTATTCTTTTCCGCAGTTATTTTTTTTCCCACCATTTTTTGTTCTCTAAACTTTGTATTTCATATTTTTTTTTCTTCTTTTTCACAATAATAGCTTAACTAATTTAAACAAAAAATATATAGTTTATGAAAACAACATCCAATATAGTTTTAGCTGAATGAGCTAAATTATGAGCCCTTAAATTTGGTTTCATGAACATTTTCTTATATGTTGCAATCTTTTATTTTGCAGATGTTCTTGATATGTGTGGCATGGTCCTCATGGGTATTAATTATATCGTTTTAAGAAAATACTTTTCATCCTTTTCATTTTGGATACTTTATTTTTTTTGTTATATCATTTTAGCGTTCATAAGAATTGCCTCTTTAGTGTATCTAATTTTGTGTAGATTTTTGTGAGATCAATTATTGGCTAAAGATAATTTAAAACACACAGGTTCCATATATGGCAGCCATATTTTCACTTTTCTCAGTATTTCCACATTCATGTGTAAGTCTATATATTAGATATATTTTTATGCGAGTTTATAATTAATTTAATTATATCTTGAAAAATATTGTAATTCAACAATTCAACTTTACAGATGCGAAGCATTGTCTCCAAACAAGTAGCATCATATGAACAGGTAACTAACTCTTGGCTTAGAAAACGGATAGAAGTATAAATGATTCAAAGAATGAAAAAAAGGGAGTAGGATTAGATAAAAGATTAGTGGCTTACATGAGAAATATTGTTATTTTTACATGAAATCGAACCTTATTATTTAATTTTTGTGAAATTGGTTTTGACTCTTATCAAATTTAGTTAAATGGTCTATGCAAACTCTAACTAATGGTAACCTATTCAGGGGAAAGCCCAAGGGATTATTTCAAGCATAGATTCCCTTGCAAATGTCATTTCCCCGCTTGCATTTTCACCTCTAACAGGTTTCACTATTTACATAATTCTTGTTTATTAATACTATTTACTTATTAAGATAGAAATGCAACACTTGCTACTAACACAGGTACTTTTTGTTTTAGATTGGTTTCTATCTGAAAGGGCTCCATTTAATTTCCTAGGGTTCAGTATAATGTGTGCGGGGTTTATGATGGTAATATACTTTATCTTTTTGCATTTTCTAAAAATACAAGGAAAAGTTTTTTCGATGGTAATATACTTTACTTAAAGGTTTTCGAAAAATACAAGGAAAAGGTTTTAGCTCTGTTTAATATTCAGATTTATTACCGTTCTTGTATTTGATACCCTCAACTGAATGAACATTAACATAATTAGAAACACCATTCGCTCTCTTAGTCCAAAACTTCCAAACGATGCTGCATTTCAACCTTTTAAAATTAAGGGGTAATAAAATTAACGTTCAATTATAATGTTATTTGGGGTTGGGGTTTTCATTCTTATTTTTGTGGATAAATAGAGTTAATAAAATTTATGTTAGTATATTTTAAGTCAATGCATGTAAACAAAAACACTATGTTATATGAGTACAAGTATTAAACTTAGCTAAATGTTTTGCTTATGTATTTTTGAAAATAGCTAAATAGTTTGATATATTTAAATATATATTTTAAATAATATAATATTGTTGTCCAAGTAAAGAATTGTTTTATTGAATCCAGTATGATACTTAAAATGAAATTGTATATGAAACATAGAAACTTTTTCAATCTATTCCTCAGATTAATTATATTACATTGGTTGGTTTGATTACTAAGAAAGATGATCTATATAATGTTCGTTACTTTATTATTTTTGTAGACTATAGCTTTCATCCAAAGCCTCATGATCAGAGCAACAACTCCAATATCGGATATGGGATCTCCATAATACAGTTCTAAATATCACCAGTCGATTCTTGGTATTATTTTAACCCTTAATATTGTGTATGGTTTTACGATTTCCAAAGTCAGGAATAGCTCCTAGGGGAATCACCATATTTGATGGTCGTTCCTGTTAATTTAGATGTCTTCTTTTCTTTATATTTTTGGTTCAAAGTTAATTTAGATATCTAAAGCAACGAAAAAGCTCCAATATTTGTATCATTTTATTTTCATTTCTAAAATACTAGTTCATTTTATAAATAGGTATATATCTGTGTATAAATACGTATAAATATAATATACAATTACCACCCAAATATATGTTACTTATAATGTAACATACTAGGATATGACCCGCGGTACACCGCGGGTAAATTTTTATTTTTATTTTTTTATTTTGTTATAAACTGATGAATTTGATGTATTAATTTTTTTCTGTTTTATTGGTACCGTAACGTAAGTTTGATTCTGTACGGTTTTTAATAAGATGTAACTCTGTGATATTTTAAGTGTAACAATATTTGGTTTTTATATGGTGAATTTACCATGCGGTACACCTCGGGGTTTCATTGTGTAACTAAAAATTTAAATTTTTGTATTTGTTTAGTTAATATTGTTTGTTATATTTTGTGTTTAATATTGTATAATTGTATTCTGATTGTTAGTTATAGGATTTTATCCGTAGTATACTGTCATATATTAATATCGATCAAAACCCGTCCCGTAATATAACTCCGTCCCGTGATAATTATTATAATTGATCTCTGGGCACAACTGAAGAATAACCAAGAACAAACTCCTATGTCTTATTGGTATCTGATTTCTGTTTACATTATATATTTTCAATAAATAATTTTTTTTTATTAATTTACGCTATTTTATATCTTCCCATTACTTATAATATACTATTAGACCAACCCGTAAAAAACTATATAACGGTATATATGAAAACCCTAACCCATTCCATCACATTATTTGCGATCATTTAAATTTGTTTATCAAGTTAAAAATATTGATAATAACAATTTTTATATAAAAAATATACTCCCTCCGTTTCACAAAGAGTGTCGTTTTAAAGTTTTGATCTCGTTTCATAAAGAGTGTCGTTTTGTGTTTTCAATACAGTTTTAAAGACTAATTCTCTTTTTTAACTTCACTATTTTAGCTTATTAATTAGAGAGATGGTATTATTTAGTGTATTAATAAGGGGTAGAAATGAAATTTGTTTACTTTTCTTAATTTGTGTGAAAAATGTTAGAATGTAAAACAGAGAATGTAATTCACAACAAAACAAAAAATGCTGGAGTACTTTAACTCTATATTACACATTTTTTCACTTGGGTCTAACAAAAAACATAACAGCCCATTAGTCATATTAGCCCAAAACAATAGAAACATAAATCCACTTCCCTTTGTTGTTTTTTCTCCTTCTTCCCACGATTCTCTCTTGCGACCAATGACCAATACTTCGTCTTCCTCTACTTGTTAGTCTCATTGTTCTACATCATCATCTTCTCACTCTCATATCTAATCGTCTTCTCTTGCTCAATGCAAGCTTAATCGAAGACTCAACCTTCAACAAATCTGAATAAGCAACCACAAAAGGCACAAAACCAAAAGATCGGATCTTTCATCAGCTTCTCACTTCAAATTGCTTCATCAATTGTTTCACTTAAGTATTCTATCAATCTCGTCTCCAATTTTATCAAGTGATCATCAAATTGATGAGTTTTGCAATTAGACAAAAAGACGTTTCTTACAACATGCGGAACGATGTTCTTCCATAATCTCTTTTCGCCGATTAGATCCTTCTTGGGGATTTCTTGGAGACTTATGTAATTCACATCGATTTAGTTGTACCTTTATAGATCGCCGGTAAGTCATACCCTTATACAATCAATTTTTCTTCATATGTTTCGTTCACAAATCTGTATAATTTCTGAAATTCTAATGCAAATCCTATCTTTCTTCAATTGGGTGTGAATTATTGCAAAGATAAGACGGATACAATGATTTAAGGTAGACATGAGTGAAGGATCCAACACAAAAAGAAGACTGGAGACGAAAACATCGATTATCTTAATCCGGGAAAGAATTATACGAATTCGATGCGGTGTCAGAAATACATAAATCATCATTCTAGAAGGATAGATTCTCAGACTTTGTTTTAGATCATAATATTTATTTTGTTTTATCGATTAGGACGGAATCTATACTTATGTGTATGCATTTGAATAGTATGTTAATTTATACGAAATCACAGTTTCTTTGAGCTAAATCTGAGTTAAATCTTTTAGCAGTTTTTGATGATCCTCTTCCTACAGTGAACTGCGCGGGAGATTTTGTGAAAAGAGTTGAATCATTGTCTTCGATGGAAAATAACTCTGCAAAGCTTGAAAATGGCAGAACTCCACATTGTTGGACTTTTTTCAGTAGTAAACAAAGTTTCTCAAGTTAGTTTCTTCAAAGCTATACAAAATAATGTAAAAATATAGAAATAAAATGGTTTTCCTTCCTCTTTTCCTCATAGGAAAACATCCCAACAGTCACGAAATAGAAAGTTAGAGCTGGGATGCTTCAAGGTGTGGAAATCGCATTGGGGTTTCCTGAAGGCTCGATTCCTAAACCCGTTTATACACGTCTCATTGACTATTGAGACATTGTAAAAAAAAAAAAAGGTATTAGTCGTTTGCTGTGAATTGCTGGATGTGTTAGAAATGATAGAGAGGTTTGATATTTATAGTGAAGTATAATGTTAGGGTTTTTGGCTCGAAAATCTTGGAGCCGAAGCAAAAAATATTTGATATATTAGCTATCATATCTTCTTGATTTTTATCAAAATGAATGATTCACGAATTTAGGCAAAATTAGGATATTGCGTAGTAGTTTATGGTTAGGATTAGATTAGATCATATATTTTAGAAGATTTGTTTAGTAATTAGTCGAGATTTAGAGAATATAATTAGACAATATTTTGGTTAATTAAATGGCAATATTTACTCTGAAATCTTTGCTAATGTTTTAGGAAAGTCTCATAAGTGTAGGTCTAACGTTTAATGCGGGTCATTTACACATTATTAGGATTTGGTAGATTAGGAAAGTAAATAAGCGAATATTGAGTCGAATTACTTGATTTTTTTTGGCAAGTCTTATTTAAAAGGATCCGAAAGCTGTGATTGGCCAATGAATCGGGTCAAAAAAAAATCCGGGTCAAAATCTTACTAAATACCCGACCCGATTGGCTTTGAACAAATTTGTACTTTAAAAATGTTAAGTAGATAAGTATGATCAGCGTAACCTTAAACTAACTACCTAAACATATCGGTATATGAAAAAGACATCAACTAGTCCTCACCTTAGCCAATCAATTCTGAATTCACGGTTTAGGGATAACAACATCATCAATCTGGTTTAGCAACGATCTTGGTCTGCATCGGTGAATTAACCGGTCAAAGATTAAATAAAATAATTAATACCCATGATTTAATCTCCTAAACCCAATCAAATCCAAAGTTTTGATTTAAATTAATTAGACCCGGTTTAATAATTAAACCAAAAGAAATCTAATAATTTAATAATGATACAGGTCAAATTGATCCTAAAGCCTACTCTCTCAAATAAGAGATCAAATTATAGTACTTAAGGGTCGAATTCCACAAAGTTCTTTTGTTCACACAATAAGTTATAAGTCTCGAAATTAGACTAAATGAAATACTTAAAATTAAAATAGAACAATAGCATGCAATGATATCGGGTGAAAGGATCAATAGATTCAAGCGTCAGATTTAGGGAAATTCTCAAAAAATAAACTATTAATAAATCTAGCAAATTAATTAGGATTATTTAATGAACCGTTCTTGAACTCAAATCACAAATGTATAGCTAACCATCTCTCGATGCGATAACTAACAAGTCTAATATCAGAAATTCCACCTCTCGATGCAAATTCCTAGATCTAGACTAGCATTAAATTCAGGTTTGATAAGTTCACCTTAGTAGATAGGCCGATTCTTATTACACACCTATAAACCAGGCTCATCTAAAGTAGTTCAGGTAGCAGGTGCCCTCTCGGATCAAATACATATTATCCTAAGATCAGGTTCTAGTTAGCTACTCTAGAACAAGCATTTAGAACAACCTAGATGAAGAACACTATGGATTAATCCTAACATGTAATTGATTTACTAGTTCATCTAAATCCCTAATGAGAATCCCTAAACCTAACAAGGAGATTACTCAGACATTATTAATGAAACAGAAAACATGTTGAATAGATTGCAGAATAAGAAATCAAAAGAAGAAAAGGGATTAGAAGAAATCTTCTCTCTAACAAGGTAATGGATCTCTGAAAAGTTGCTCTCTCCAATTATATTCCAAAGGGTTCAAGCACATAGACTTACAGAAGCAAAATACAAAAGTTTCCGGGTAAAGAAACAGAAAAATCCTAAAAACTATTTATAAAGTCTCCAAAAACGTGCAAGGACTAAAATTGCAAATAGGGAAGTCTTCTGGGTAAATTCTGCGGGCTTTAAAACTCTACTGGGCCGCGTATGTTGTCGAGCGACACCAAGGGTGTCGGTCGACACTCATGCCTTGGTTCGAACTGAATTCGTCTCTTCAGCTCCAAATCTTCGGTTAAGCTCCAGAATGATTCCTTTTCTCCAATTTCGTCGAACGTGTCAAAACCTGAAAAGACTCAAAAAGACACTAGAAACAACAGAAAGACTCTAAAACTAACACGTAAATCACGGTTAAAACCAGTAAAATCCATGTTATATCAACTCCTCCAGACTTAGCTTTTGCTTGCCCTCAAGCAAAACGCAAAAACCGAACCCGTGGAAGAAGTTTGAAAACATAGAAACTCCCAATTTCTCTAGCCTATTACCTTGATTATTCAAACCAAATCCAAATGCCTAGCAGATCGCATCAAATCCTAACCACCATGTAATTCTCCGCAAGCATTCTCAACATTCCAAATTCCAAACCAAATTCCACAACTATATCCTATAGCCCTCATCGCATAAATCCCATCAATAAAATCAGTACTCAAGAACCTTCTAGACTCATTTCCGTACTATACCATGACAAATCAACCATTACAACATATTTAGGTACTCTTTCTCTCCTAGACTTGTTCCTTTTCAAACCATTTTTTTTTAGCTTCAAAGGTGTAAGCGAATAATGGTATCATCGAAATTTTCCTAACCTCGCATCCAACCTTCGTGTGATCATTCCTCTTCAAGTAAAATAATGAGATCACGGGAAATTTTCCTATCCCTTTACTCCAAAAGAAAATCATCTCAATCTTTATTTTTTTTTTATTTTTTTTATTTTAGAATAAGGGAGAGGAGTACCATTCTTTTCCACATTGGTCTCATTTATCATGTATGAACGAGGAGTCAAGTTCTACGAATACTAACCTTACAGATTAGGTGAAGAGCATAAACTTTGCTCAGGCTTTAGCGGATTGTGTTGGAAACATGGATATCCTCTGGTCTATCGATTAACTCTCTGGATTTTCCATTAGTTGGATTGAATTGAATCTGCAGCATTAAACTAGCCAGGCAATAATCTAGAGAAAAGATCATAATTTCTAACAAAATTTTGACTCCATAAAACGACTCAAAAGAAAAAGAAAAATAAGAATAAGACTCAAAAAGAAAAACATAATTAGTAAGTGCCTCCCCAGACTTAAACGACATTGTCCCCAGTGGCATTCAAACCGGAGTTAGCGAAAAAGAAAGGAAAATAAAATAAAAATAAAAGAAAAAGAAAAGAAAAGAAACTTGTAGAAGCATCAGCGTCCGTAGTTCCTTGTCCTGCATCATCAACAGAAGAAACAAGCACTCGAAAATCTCGTGGCTCGTTTACTTGTGAAGCCTTCTTCGAAGATATGGAAGTATTAATTGAAGAAGGTAAGAGATGAGGAGGAGATGAACAATACCTTTGCTGATCAAGGCGTGGAAAGCGTGGGCGAGGTGATCTGTATGGCTCAGGAACAGCTCCCGAACTTGTGGCAGTGTTTGCAGTCTCGTGAGCAACGTTTGCTGAAAGCGGTGTCTCTGGTCGTCGAGGGTGTCGATCGACACAGGTGTGTCGATCGACACCGGTCCGTCTGCAGGAGGCTGAATGGTGAGCTGAGCATTGTCGGGTTCCTTCGGCGTAGTAGATTGCAATTCCTTCTCAAATTATTTTGTAGATTCAACAGAGAAGGACTTATCACTGAGAATTAGAGGTGTTCGTGGTCCTTTCATGTCGAAATCCATCTTCACATCACAAACATCCAACGAAATCTGTCCTTTCTTCACATCAATCTTTGCACCAGCTGTGGCTAAGAAGGATCTAACCAAGATAAGAGGATCCTTGGGTTCGACATCGTAGTCCAGCACTACGAAATCAGCAGGTATGAGAGAGTCACCAATCTTCACAGGAACATCCTCCAAGATTCTTTCGGGAATACGCTTAGAACGATCCGCGAGAAGCAAAGTGATTCTTGTCGGCCTGTAAGACGTCATACCAAGACAGAAAACAACTGAATGTGGCATAAGATTAATGCCAGAGCCAAGGTCACATAATGATTTCTTGAACCGGCTTATAGAGATGGAACAATCAAGAACAAAGCTTCTTGGATCATGTAGCTTCTCAGACATTCGACTCTGGATAATCGAGCTAACGTATTCAGACACAACCACTTTCTTCTTCCGCTCTTTCGTAGCTTCCTGCAGCACAATCAAACTGATGTCCTTGGTGAGCAAAGCAGCTTCCTCAGAACAAATACCATTATTCACCAAACGCTTGACATAGCGATCAAGTGTTGGAGAAGATGTCTCGGGATTGACTTTAGGAATAGAAGCCAAGATCTTCTCCATTATGGCCTTGTAGCGAGCATCCTGAATCTCCTGCTTAGAGTGACGCTTCCTAGGAAAAGGAACCGGAGGCGTGTAAACATGCTTGGTAGGTGGAAAAACAAGTGCATAAGGAGCTGTTTTGACCCAGTGTCGAGCGACACTAGATGAGTGTCAGTCGACACTATCAGAAGTTGTCGACTTCTCCGAATCGTGATTGCTCGATCCTTCAGAAGTTGAGATTGGATTGCTGTCAAGAGAGTGTCGATCGACACACAGGCGGTGTCGGTCGACACCAAAGCTTGGTGTCGGGCTGGGAGAGACTGTAGCGGTCGCAACTCTCCGTCAAACATCGAAACTTCTTCGAAGGATGGATGGTGTCGATCGACACCCTGATGGTGTTGGTCGAAACTGAGGAGTGGAGTCGAGCTGTTGGAGGTTGTGTCGATCGACGAGTCTTCGTCAAATGTCGTTTTCCATGGGAAACAGACGGGTGTCGAGCGACACCAGCGTGTGGCGCTCGACACTGGATCTGCAGCTGCGAGCTCGAGTTCGTCTTCAGTATCTAACTCTTCCCAGACATCATCTCCATCACGAATCAGAATCACATTACATGTCCTCTTGGGATTTGCATCAGGCATACCAGGGAGAACACCATCTTGTCGCTTAACAGCGGCGACAGTTTGAGCAACTTGAACACCGAGCTTCTTCATATGAGTGTTCAAAGTGTCAATCTTGCCATTCAAATCAGTGTAGATGGCATCAAACTTCCCATTAAACTCCACTGTAAGCTTGGTATGCCCCTCTAAAATCTGCTCA